CATCATCATCATTTCAATCTTTAATTTTTTTCCAACGACAACTTTTTGAAATTTTTCGTTTTTTTTTTTTTTTTTTTTTAAATTTCAAAAAAACTTTTATTGATAATCATTACTGTAGTAATGATGATTGTTTGATCTTTTTTTTTGTTTTCCTCAAAAAAAAAACGATAAATGAAAATATCTTCATGGAAAATTGCCTTCAACATTCATAATCGTCAATTGTGATTATTGAAAAACAAATGTAATCATTTTTTTTTAAATCAACTAAATTTATTTTTTCATGTTTTTCTTCGTTTTTTTTAAATCTTTTCTTGGTTCATTTGTTGTTTTTTAATTTTCCTACATTCATTCATTCATTCTGTTTTGTTTGTTAATCTAATGGACCAAATTATTTCATTGATGTTGCAGCTTTGATATTTAAATGTATGATTTTTGTTTTTTGTTTTTTTTTTTTGGATTTCAATTTTTATAATCATCAAATATCATCTTTATCATTCAAAACATCATCTTTATCATTATTGAATGGATTTTTTTTATTGAAGAAAATTATTTTTTAATTTAGAAACCTTAAAAACAAGAAAAACAATGTGTGAATCACATTCACCAATAACAATGGCATTTTTAAATAATATTTCTACAACCGGTAATAATACTAATACCGATGATAATATTCGAACACAAAATTCGTGCCTTTCTTGTCGATCATCATCATTATCATTATCATTATCATCAAATACAACATTAATTAATAATAATGATGATGATGATGATAATGATAATAATCAGGAAAAAAATCATTATAAAACAATGTGTAATGCTATAAATGAATCATCATTATCATTATCAACAACAACAACAACAAATTTACCTGATGATCTTAGCCAAGCAACCACCGAACAATTAATAAATGAATTAATAAGATTATCATTGAATAAATCACAATACTGCCTAACATGTCCATGTAATAAATATCATGATGATCTACTTTCAATGATGTCAATTGAAGCTAATGCACAATTAAAGAAAAGATTTTTACCACAATTTCAAAATTCATTTATTAATAATAATAATAATAATAATAATATGATCGATAATATACATCATGATATATTATATCAACCAATAACAGGTGATTATGTACCAATGATTGATGAACAAAAACAAAAATTATCATCATCATCATCAAAAAATAATAATAATAATATAGATTCAATAACAAATGATGAAGGATGTTCAAGAATTATACATCATCCACATTGTTTTAAATGTACATTAAATTTAAATGGTAAAAATCAACATGAATGGATCAAACAATTAACACGTATGAATCAATCCGGTTATTTAACAAATACGCCAATCATTAATTGTACAACAACAACATTTCAAACATTACAAAATTATTTTCCATATATGTTATATCCATTATTACATTCAATTGAAGAAGCTGATTTACGTATACATGCTATTTATAATGAATTAGGATCAACAACAACAACATCAGAAAATCAACGTTTACATCAATATGTTGATTTAAATATTTTTTTACCAAATGGATTTTTTGTACAATTTTCAACCGAAAATGATCGTACATTGTCCGAAATTAAACGTAATCTTTGGTATGAATTTGAACCAATGATTGCTAAAATACGTGGTCATATTGAAAAAACTAATCAACGTAATAGTCGAACAAAAAAATCATTAATATGGCTTACAGGTATGAATCGTTTTTCAACTGAATCATTAAAACGTGCCGGAAGAAAATTTAGTTTTTCAAGAACAAAAAAATCATTATCAATTGATTCACAATCATCATCATCAACATTAATTAAACGTACTACATCATTGAATGAATCGATTAAAGTAAATTTTTTAGATCAAGACAGTTCTTCTTCTAGTCATATAATTAAAGATGATAAACAAATATCAATATCAGCCAATTCAAATAATCAAAGTCAAATTAAATTAAAACAATTTTCCTGTACATTACCTGAAATGACGGATGAAACAATTGAACAAGATGGTAATAATAATCAACAACAACAACAATCAAAACGAATGAATCTATTATTAAATGATAATTGTGATGATTATGGTTTTAATAATTATAGTGGTACAATTAATCCATCATTATTTATTGATGATGGTAAAATTCTTATAAAATTTTTATCATTTATAAATGCTGATCAATGTGATTATTCATTTCAATCATTAACAAATGTTTGGGAAGAAATTTATGATGATAATAATCATTTATATGAATTAAATGAACAGATTCCATATTATTTACGTTTAGTTGAATTAACTAGTGATAAAAATGAAAAAATTCTTAATTCAAGAATTCGGCAAATTATTAAATGTTCAGTAAATAAACTTGAAGTATATCGTACGGATGAATTTCGTGATTTTCGTTATGGTATGTATCAATGTATGATTGATGCTGTACGACAAAGAGAAAAATTTTCTATTGAAAAACGTATTAATTATGAATTTGAACCTGAACTTGATGAAATTGATACATTAAATCTAAGCGTACAGACAATGGTAAAAAAATTTCGTTTAGATGAAATGATTGATTTGTCAAACAATTCGGATACATTGGATTCATGGACCGAAACATTAGCCAATTATTTTAATCATCCATTTCCATTTATGCCAAAAAATAGACGTCGTAATTTTAGTTCAGCATTGAATCCAAATTCAATGAATACAAAAACACCAGGAGCTTATTCACCATATCATCGTCGTTCAACTGGTCAATCAAATAAAAGTATTGATCAAGAATCGTTATCATCTTCATCATTGATACAATCATCTAATATGAATGAAGATGAAGGACCTGTGTATGCTGAGGTTTGTGTGGTACCATCATCATCATCATCATCAACACAAACAACAAAAATCATTGATGAAAATCAATATAATGATGATCAAATATTATCAGATATAAAATCAATATCATCAATAAAATCATTTCAAATGATTAATCCAATGATAAAATTATCATCATCATCATCAACAACAACAAATAATAAAATAAGTAAACATAAACGTCATCTTAAACCAATTAAACATCGTCCATCATTAACACCAGTGTTTGAAGAAGATGAAGCACCTAATAATAGTAATCAGAATAATAATAGAAATTCTACACAACAAACAAATACTGATGATCAAATTGAATATATTTCCATTAATATTGGTAATAAAATGATAAATTTTCGTAAACCATATCCAAGAAAATTTGAAGCAAAAATGTGGATTTCAATTAATCTAATTAAACGAACAACAGCAACAACAACAACAACAAATGATGAAAATACAAAAGAATTTAATGATAATGTTAATGATGATATTGATATAATAATTAATGAATTAGCGGAAATTACAACAACAAATGAAAAACAATCAAATAATAATAATAATGATTTTGATAATCCAAATATATTGGATTCATCATCTGATGATGATAATAATAATGATAATAATGATAAAAAAGATATACCATTAGATCAATTAATTAAATCAAATGATTCAATAAAAAATACGGGTAAAATTTTAACAAATAATAATCAATCAACAACATTATTGAAAAGATTTGTACGTAAATTTTCAAAAAATAAACAAAATAAATTGGAAAAAATGAAAAATTCCAATAATAATAATACTTCTATTGATACCTTTTTTAATAAATCTGAATCAAATGTTAATGATAATGATGATAATAATCATGATGAAAATTCATTAATACCATTTATAATAAATGCTTATTCAAATAAAACTGCCCGTGATTTAATACAAAAATTATTAGTCCAAATTACATCACATATTGAACATAAAAGAAATTCATCTTCTTCAACTTCAACTTCTTCCACTAATATATCGACCTCAAATACTGCAACCTCAAGTAACCCATCATCATCATCATCATCATCATTATTATCATTACGTGCATATCAAAGAAAATTCAAGTCATTACAGGAAAATTTGATACAGACCATTACAAATGGTCAAAAATCTAGTCTTAAATTACCAATTGAATCAACATTATTTAGTCAATATGATTTAAATCCAGATACATATTTATTAAAAATTTGTGGTTATGATCAATATTTGATTGGTGATTATCCAATGATACGTTTTGAATATATACGTAATTGTGTTTCAAAAGGAAAAATACCACATTTACGTTTAGTACAGAAAGAAACAGTTATAAAACGTTTATCAACATATGTACATATTGAACCATCATTTTTACGTCGTTTAAATCAATTTATAAATACAAATAATTCATATTCATCATCAAATAATGAATATGAATCACAAAAAGCAAATATTTCATATCGTTTAACTGATGGTTTTTCATCAAAAGGTCGATATTATTCAAATAATAATAATAATAAACGAAATAATTATCGTCAACATTCATCATCATCATTATCAATATCAATAGATTCAAAACAAACTTTTGATAATAATAATTATTCAAAATTAAATAATAATTTAAATAATCAAGAATATTGTCATTATTCAACTATATCACATGTAATACAACAAAATGAACAACAACAACATTCTTCACCATCAATCACTGTTTCAACACCAACCGATGAAGATTGTATACAAGATTGTTGTGATGATGAAAATGATTTTTATATTGAATTTATTGATAATAATAGAACATTAGATTCATGGATATATCGTGGTCTATATGAAAAAAATCAATTAATTTCATTATGGAGAATTTTACGTATATTTCGTGTACGAATATTATCGGCAAGTTATGTTAATGTTAAATTAGCAAATAAAGTATTTGTACGTATGGCTATTTGTCATGGTAATGAATTATTAAGTGAAATTCATTCAACTGATCATGTTGAACCACATACACCAAGTTGGAATAAATGGCTTGAATTTAATAATATTTTTACTTATCATCTTCCATTATCAGCAAGATTATCATTAGAATTATGTATTACTAGTTCAAGACGTGATCAAGATGGTTGTCCAATTGGTTGGGTTAATTTACCATTGTTTAATTATCGTCGTTGTCTTTTATCTGGTCGTATATCGTTAACATTATGGCCAATGAAAATTTCTGAAACAAATAATAATAATGATACATCCAATAATAATAATAATAATAATGAAACATTATCAACAACAAGTATATTATCAAATCGATGTGGTTGTATTGGTAGTAATCCATTAAAAGATTCTGCACCAAGATTAGATCTTGAATTTGATCAATATGAACAACCAGTTGTTTATCCACCACATACTGATATACTTGAATATGCACAAATGGTTAATCGTCAAGAAGGTTCAACACGTCAACAATTTCAACAACCAAAATCATTTAAACAATTAACACGTGAATCAACAACAAATATTTCAACATTTGATACATCACCATTTAGTATTGATCGTGTTTTTCGACCTGATCCAAATGAATTAAAATTATTACAATTAAGAAAATCATTATCAAGAAGAGATCCATTTTCAGAAATGTCTGAACAAGAAAAAGATTTTTTCTGGCGTGAACGACATATAATACGTGAACTTTGTCCAGATGCATTACCAAAAATTGTTGAAGCAGTTCGTTGGATGAATCGTGATGAAGTTTGTCAATTATATGCATTGCTTGATCAATGGCCAATTGTATCGGTTGATGTTGCAATTTTATTGTTAGGTCATCGTTATCCAGATCCAATTGTACGATCATTTGCTATAAAATGTTTAGATCGTGGATTAACTGATCAATTGATGTTACATTATCTTTTACAATTAGTACAATTAATACCAAATGAAACATATTTAAATAATGATCTTTGTCGATTATTATTACGACGAGCTTTATTGAATCGTCGTTTTGGTAATCTTTTTTTCTGGCATATTCGTTCAAGATTATCTGAACAATTTTTCAGTCCACGTTGGTATGTTTTATTGGAAATGTATTGTCGTGGTTTATCCGAAAGATTATTACTGGAAACATTACATCAAGTTTTAGCTTTAGAAGAAATTGAACAAATATCAATGAATACTGCTACAGTTACCGATCGAAAACAGGCTATACTTAAACGTTTACAACAACCAAAAACATTAAAAACTGTACAAGGATTTTATAATCCATTAAATATAACATTACGTTTAGATCGTTTGAAAGCTGAACATCTTCGTGTAATGGATTCAGCTAAACGACCATTATGGCTTGAATGGATAAATTCTGATCCATTTGCACGAACAAGTGGTGTACTTATAAATGCAATCATTTTTAAATCTGGTGATGATTTACGACAAGATATGCTTACTTTACAGGTAAGATTTTTTTTAATGATTTTAATTTTTTCTTTTCTAATTAATCAACTATGGATGTTTGTTTTTTTTTTGTTTGTTTTTTGATTAGGTCATACGAATTATGGATCAAATATGGCGACGTGAAAATCTTGATCTACGAATGTTACCATATAATTGTTTAGCTACTGGTGATCAGGTTGGATTAATTGAAGTTGTTCCACATGCTAAAACAGTTATGAGTATACAACGAGTTGGTGGACGTAAAGCTGCATTACAAATTGATAGTTCAAAATTACATAAATGGATTCGTGAACATAATAATGATAATTATGATAATGCTGTTGAAAATTTTACTAGAAGTTGTGCCGGTTATTGTGTAGCAACATTTATACTTGGTATTGGTGATAGAAATCCTGATAATATTATGGTCAATGAAGATGGACAAATTTTTCATATAGATTTTGGTCATTTTCTTGGTCATTTTAAGAAAAAATTTGGCATTAATCGTGAACGTGTTCCATTTGTTTTGACATATGATTTTTTACAGGTTATTGCAAAAGGTGCTGAAAATCCATTAAAAAGTAAAGAATTTGAAGCGTAAGTTTTTTTTAATGTTTTTACTCTATCTAAGTTTTTGTTTGGAGCTAATTTTTCATGTTTTTTGTTAATTAGGTTCCAAAATCTTTGTAATGATGCCTATCTAGCATTACATGATAATGCAGGATTATTAATTTCATTATTTACAATGATGTTGGGTACTGGTATTCCTGAATTACAACGAATGGATGATATTCAATATTTACGACAAACATTACAGGTTGAACATTCACGTAAAGAAGCGCTTGAATATTTTGAACAACAATTGGATGATGCTTATGAAGGAGCATGGTCAACAAAATTGGATTGGTTTTTTCATAGCGTTAAACATGCTTGAGTTTAATTTTTTTTTGTCCTGATATTTATGAATATAGTCATCATCATCATCATATATATATGAAACATGTGTTTTTTCTTTTTCTTCCAAAGCATTTATTGATTTCTTTTTTTGTTTTCTTTTGATTCAAAGCTATTTTTTATAATAAAAAATAAGAAAAAAAATTTAATTTTATTTGAATTTGTTTTGTTCACATTTCTTCATTGATTCATTGAAAAATAAATTAAAAAAAAAATCATTTATAATAATGACTTATGATGTTGATAAACGAAAAGAATTACAAAATGAAATGGATCAATTGTTTTTTCTTTTTCAACGAATCAAAAATAATAATGATAATGTTGAAGAAACAATAAGAAATAATGTTCAAGAAATGGCACAAAAAATTATTATGAAAATTGATGTACCAATTAATTTTGATCCACAACAATTACTTGATTCAATGTTATTATGTTCAGAAGAAGATAATAATAATATAGATGATTCACTTATGTTAAAAATTCGTATTCGTGATCATTTTGTTAATCTAATGATGAAACAATTTGATGATTGTCAATTTGATAATCAAACATTTATCAATCAATATGTTTTACTTTATTTTCCATTACCATTGAATAAACGACAATCATATTTATGTTCATATGTTATTTCAATAGCAATGTGGTTAGAACATTCAAAATTATTGAATTCAATGGCTAATTATGTATTGGAAAGTGAAACAATAATTTTTCCAAAACAACCAATGTCAAAAAATTTGGCCAAAATTTCACCAAAATTCTGTGCAGCACTTATATCACGTGGACATTTTCAACGTGATCAAACTGGTAAAGATTATCTTACTGATTGGCTTAAAACACTTGCAAATGAAAATATAACCGATGTTAATTGGAATAGTTTTCAATTAAATCATTCAATACGTTTTTCATTACATGAAAAACCAAACGATTCTGAATTACATTTGGCCATATTAAAATTGATTGAACAGAAAAAATGTCATGAATTTACAAATCATTTTATTATTGATTTGGCTACAAATCTTACTAATCAAATATCCGATATAAATATAGCTAATAATAAAACAAATAATGAACCATTAAAAATACGTGATGCACTTTTAGATCGTTTTATTATGATTTTAGCAATGGCAATGAATTCATCTCTTTGTTCACAATCAAATCAATTGAAAAAAAGATTAATAGATAGATTTCATTATTATCCATTATTAGTACAGCTACTTTCCGATTCAACAACAACAACAGAAAATAACAATACAAAATTAATGGATAACAATAATAATGATGATGATAAAAAAACAATGGAATAGAGAACAAATTTTCATTTTACAACATTTTTTTTCTTTAATAATTATAATAAAAACAATAAATTTGATGAAATTTTTTTTTATAACAAAACAATATTTGTATTTTGTCTTTTGTTAAACTTTTGTTTGTTTTTTTTTCTTCAAAAAATGAATAAAAATTTTCGTTTTTTTTATTCTGTTTTGTTTTGTTCGTTCGCTTGTTTGTTTCTAACACTATTTTTTTTTTTGTAATAAAAATTTATTGATGATAAAAATTTTATTTTTTTGAATTTTTCAATTCCAATGAACGTTGTTTAATTTCTTCAAGTATATCATTTCTAGTTGGCCATGATGGTCTTGCAAAATTAATTAATTGATAAACACCGGCTAATGTTGGTCTATCTTTTTTTTCTATTTCTTCTTCTTCATCATCATCATCATTAATATCTTCTTCATTATTATTATCATCATTATCAATATCATCAAATACTTTATCATTATCATCATCATTATTTTCATCTATAATCGAATCTTTCATTAAATTTTTCATATGTTTATTTAATTTGGATAAATTTTCTGTTATTTGTTCATTATTATCATTAGTCATATAGTTGGTATTTTGTTCAAATTCATCCATTTGATTATTATCATCATCATTATCAATATGCGATTGTTTGGATGCAGATACAGATACAGATCGTCGTTTCATATTGCTAAAATCTTTAAATTTTTCATCTGTTTGATTAATAATAAAAATATCTGATGATGATGAATCGGGTTTTTGAAAAAATCCTGAATCCGAATCTAATACAATGTTAAAATAGATATTTTTTTTTAGAAAAAACAAACAAACATAAATGCATAGAACAAACCTGAAATATGACTAGAACGAATTAATGAATGTAAATTTTTTTGCTGCTGTTTAAGTGATGATTGTGGTGGTAATGGATTTGATACTATCATTGATCGTGATGAATGTATAGTTCCAATTGATGGACTTGATGCAATAGGCATTGATCCTTGTGATTGTATTTCACGATAATGTTCAGGTGTTGTTGGTAATGATGAATATGGTCCATATAAATGAATTGTTGATGGTATATTTTTTGTTAAATTATTATTATTGTTTATAAATTGTTGTCTTTTAACTTTTGATGTTGGCCTAATCATTGTTGTTGATTGTCGATTTGTATTATTAACTTTGCTACTTTGTTTCTGTAATGGAATTCTTGAAATTGGCATTGGTGATTGATCATTTAAATTATCCACAGGTGTTATCATCATATTTTCTGGTGTTGTTGTTGTTGTATTTGAATGATTAACTGTTGATTGTCCATGATCAAATTCATCGCTAAACATTTCAATCATACGACGAGCTAGATTTCTATCAATATCAGTATTCATTGAATAAATATGATCCGATTGATTAACATTATTATTGTTTGATATTATTTTTACATCCGACATTGTTTGTGGTGGTGGTTGTTGTTGTCTAATATTATTATGTAAATTATGTATTTTATTCGATATTATTGTTGCTGCATTATTTAATTTCATATTAGACATATGTATTGGATGCATTATTGGTTCCATACGTGACATAATACCATATATTGGTGGTTGTGATTGTTGTTGTTGTTGTTGTTGTTGTGATTGTGACTCTTGTTCCACATTAGCATCGTATATTGGTTTTTTCATCAATGGTTCAATAGATGGTGATAATAATTTTCTATTCTTCAAATCATTCAATTGTTCTGTTTGTTTAATAATTGTTGTATTATTGTTTTTAACCGGTATTCGTGTAAAACAACCAAAACCAATACAAACAAATGATATAAATAATAATAGTAAACCAAATGATATTAATGATAGTACACCATATTCTTGATATTTCATTGGATAAATAAAATAATATTTTAAATGATTATGATAATCTTGTGATGCTACAAATTGTTCTTGATACCAAAATAATGGTATTATTGTTTCGGGTATTGTACGATTTGCATTCCTATTTACCAAAACGAAAAAAAAATTATTTATTTTGCAATCAATCAAATCATACACAGCATACAATTTCAATGGTAATGGTGGAAAATGTACATTCAATTGATATCGTTCCATTTTATCCAAAACAATACCAGAAATCTGTAAAAAAATTTGTTTAAAAAAATTGATTAAATGAAATTACAATTTTAGAAAGAAAAAAACTGTTACCGGTTCAACATCAATATAAGTTTGATAAAATTGATCATCCGGTACTAAACCATTTATTGATCGACCAATCGATTTAGTAATAGTACCACTAAAATGTGGTCTTGTCAATATAATTGGTGCACCATTATAACAATTAGCCATATCTAATATACCATCATAATTACAACGTTTAAGTTGATTTTGAAATCTACAAAAACAACCATTTGCTTTATTACGGAAAGGACTTTGCATAAAATCATTAGCTTCACTAAAACGTCTTAAACTAATACCGGATGGTGATGAAATTATATCCAATTTTGATAATGTAAACGGTATAGAGCTTCCAAAACAAAAAAAAATGTATATTAACTATCTGTTAATTATAAATAATAATTATTATGATAATAATCTTACCGACATAAACGTGGTATAAATTGATATATACGAGATTCACGAACAAATGGACTATATTGTCGACCATCAGTACCATTAATACTATTACATTGACGACCATACCATGCATCCATATAGCTATGTTGATTCCAAGCAATAATTTCACCATTCTGTTCATCATTAATACCAGTATAGATATCATATTTTTCAATTGAATTATTACTAAAAAATGAAAATACTGAATTCTGACGATATTCATTTCGGGAAAGTTTCATTTTTTTTTCTTTTAATTTAATTAATTTCGGTCCACTTTTTACAACATTTTCATAACGATATATACCGGCTAATAGATCATATGGATCAATATCAACACCTAAACGTTTTATATATTGTTCAGCTTTATCATAAAGTGTTAGAATTTTACCAACTGTTTCATCATTTGTATATTTTGTATGTTCAATATTTGTTGTATTTGATTCTTTGGTTGAATTTTTATTATTTATATCAATTGTTTCATCATTTTCATCAAGCTCATTCATATTGGCATTGATATCCTGATCACCATCACCATTATCAATATTGTTCTGTTGATGATCAGATTGATAATTTGGACCAAAAATAATACGCCATATTGGTCGTTCAACAAAAATATTCATTGCATATAAATTCAATATTTCATCAATAACATTACGTAAACCATTTGAAATTTTTTTCACATTTTCACCTCTTTTCATTAAAGCTCGTACAAATGGATTTAATGCCTGAAAAAAAGAAATAAGCAAATGAAATTAAATGAATGAATCCAAAAAAATTTAATTTTATTCAAATCATACTGAAAGTTCTGAATTAACAACAATAACTTTTTGATCAATATCTTCATATGAAAGTAATTGATCAAAATGATATTGTACACGTTCATTATAGCCAGCTTGATTTTTTTCATCATTAGCAAAAATTACGTTTTCTTTCAATCGTTCGATTCTATTGTTGAATGAATGAATAAATGAGAATTAAGTCAATGGAAAAAAGTAGATAATATTTATTGTTGTCATTAAACATACCGAAAAACAAATGGACCAACTTCACGTATTTGTGGCTGTAAACGATTCACAACTGTAGCTATATCTTTTTCTTGTTTTGAATTACGATTTAATGATTTGATTCGTGTTGTTGTCGAAGATGATGATGGAATTTCTTTAGGTTTTTTCTTCTGATTTTCGGTCAATTTCGGTGCGGTTAATGTTTCAAGCCAATTTTGTCTTAATTCATTAACATTTTCAATTTCAAATACATGAACAGTTAATATTTCACGACCAGATGGCTTTAACCAATGTTCATACCACCATAAATTATTATTATTAATAATCATTTGTTGTTTTACAACATCACCAAATATTGTATCAAATTTACAATAAAATAATATACCAATACCTAAACATAATATGCCTAAAATGGCAAATATTATAAAACAAACACAACCAACCAATGGACATCTACGTTTTAATTCATTTGTGGATGTCATGATGTAATTTCATTGACATAATCAATAATTTAATAATGAAAAATAACATCCAATTTCAATAGAAAAAAAATATATTATTTATTTATTTATGGTTGATTGAATACGAATTGAAAATGAAAATTTAGATGACGAATGAAATGTAGAAAAGCAACAACAACAACAACTGAAATGAACCATTGAATCGGTGAAAGTTTTTTTCGTTTTTGTTGAAATTATTGTCAATTGATGCAACGAAAATTTTCATTTGTTCAAAATCCGAATCTAAACAATTTTTGATCTATTCGAATGACTTTTTGGTTTTGTCAAAATTAATTAAAAGAAATTTAAAAAATTTGAAATTTGAAATTGAATAAACAAAATGATAACACACATGTAAAAATGACGATAACATTAATTGAATTGATGAATGTAATAAATGCAATTAATAATAATGATCATAAACAAAATATATATTTTCAAAATCAATAAAACCAACAAAACAGATCAATAAACTGTGTTGATTATTTTATAGATTGATAAAATCGATGGAATTTGTTTAATCAATCAATCAATCAATCGATCAATCAATTAATCGATAACCAAATGTTTTTATCAATTGAATGTTTTTATTTCCATTTCGATATCTATATATATCGAATGTATAACATTTCATCGATGATGATGAAATTGATGTAAGTTTCTTATTTTAAAAACTAACTTATTCTGTCATTTAGTTTTCTTTTACCGTGTGTGTGTGTTACAACAGGAATGATAATGATAATGATAAACACACACTGAAAAAAAAACTTATTTCGATTCTATATTTGTTTGATTAGTTTCATTCATTTAGGTTAGGGTGTTTTTTCTTTTCTTGATTTCCTTGAAAAACAACAGCAAAAACAACCATAACCATATTAAATGGATCAATGGAATGGTGAAAACAAAAAAATGGAAAAAAAACAACGATAATTTTTGTTTCACATTTAACGTTTCATTAAATTTGAAGATTATTTCGATTTTTTTTTCTCTTGTTCTTTTCTCTTGTTCTTCGGTCTATTATTTTATCATTATCATCATCATATATCACATTGGATGATTTTCTTTTCTCGTAATCATTACCCACTTTCTTGGATCGTTGAATGACTTTCATGCATAATGGTTCACGATTGTCGTCGTCGTCGTTGTTGTTGATGGTTTAGTTTTTATGAGAAACCGAAAATTGGAATTTTAAAATTTTTTTTTTTTTAAATCGAAATCAACACAAACACAGACACACTGTATTAAATAGAAATATAGTACATGTACGTATATATTTGACGTGTACTTTAGATATGAATTAAATTTTATCATTATAATTTTCATTATTATTCATCATCATCATTTCGTTTACCTTTATTTCATTTTCTTCTGGTTTGTCAACTTTTTCATTCTTCTTCTTCTTATTCTTTGGAAGACATTTGTCTTTATTTTCCATTGAAAACAATGAAGAAATGAAATGAAATGAAAAAAAAAACGATCGACAACTTTACCAAGCTTATGATGATGATGATGATTATATGTGAAATACCATATATATAAAAATCGATAAAAAATGTGCAATAATTTTTTTCGGAAATTTTTCCCTTTTTTGAATGTATTTTTCCTTTTCTCTCGATTGGAAAAGATGAAATAAGACAAACATATAAACAAACAAACATGAAAGCAACACCTAAACCAGGTGATATTATTCGGGTCATTTTTTTTCTCTCGGTCTAAATGTGGAGTTTTTTGAATTTTTTTGAATCCCATCCACCTTGATTTCCAATATCCATTAGTTTTAATGAATCTTTTTTGTTTATCGAAAACAAAGAAGAAGAAAAACAACTGAAAAAAAACAAAACTTTAAAGTTTTCATTTATTTTTTGTACATTTGTTTTTCCATTGAAATTCTGCATTCTGAATTTTTCATTTTTCATAGGACTTTGATCTATGCAAATGATTGAACTTGATAATGAAAAAAATGAATAAATTTTTTGTCCTTGATTCATGAACTTCAATTTTTTGTTTTCTGTTCAATATATATTCTTTCATTTGATCTATTTTTAATGGAAATTTAGCAGAGAAAAAATTGAACAAAACAAGTGAAAATTAGACCTTGATATTGTGCATGTGTTTGAGTGTGTAATTGTATGATGAACAATAACCGACACACAAGATGGAAGCAAAAATCCGATCGATTCATGTGACAATCATAAATCATCTTGAAAATCGATTTTTAAAATATCAAGAGAGAGATGAAAAAAATCGAAAAACAACAACTGCATGCCAGGTCGTTATTGATTCGAACAATTATGAAAAAAGATTTTTACAAACATAATTTGTCAATTTTTGCTCCCAAATTTTACCTTTTTTTTTCAAAAAAAAACCTTATGACATCTAAAACAGAAACTGTTTATTGATTTTCATATTTTTTTAAAGTTTCAATTTAAATTTATAAGTCAAACAAGATGAATTTTTTATTATGGCCGGAAATTTCCATAATCATCAAATAATCCGTGATGAATTTCAAGGACAGAATTTTCATCAATTTTTTTCAGCGAAAATTACTTTCAATGTATGAACAATTTATCCATTGATTCTTACTCTTTTTGGATCGATGTTTTCATCATTAAAAAAAAACAGGTAAATTTGGCAATTTCTTTTCGTTTTTGTTTATATTACGAATTATCGGATTAGCACTAATGTTTGTTTTTAAAAAAAATTAGAACACTTCGTTTGGTTACCTTGGCTACTTTTAACGATCAATTTTTTGTTTTTGGAACAACAAATATAAACCTATAGAAAAACAAAACAAATCCAATTCGATTGAATCCAAATGATTAGTTTATTTTTTTATATTCTATTCATTTTTTGGATTCATTTTGTTCGATTATTGTACACAAGCAACAACAATGTCCAAAGCAAATCAAGAACAAACATTTTTATTAATCAAACCGGATGGTATACAACGTGGTTTGATTGGTGAAATTATTCAACGTTTTGAATCGAAAGGTTTTCAATTGATTGCAATAAAATTACAAATGGCAAATGATGAAATATTACGTAAACATTATCAAGATCTTATTGATCGTCCATTTTTTCCAAAACTTATTGAATACATGAAAATGGGACCAATCGTTCCAATGGTATGGCAAGGAATGAATGTTGTACGTACGGCAAGACAAATGTTGGGTGAAACAAATCCATTGGATTCACGACCCGGTACAATTCGTGGTGATTTTTGCCTACAAACTGGACGTAATATTATTCATGGAAGTGATTCAATCGAAACAGCTAAACGTGAAATTAATCTTTGGTTTCAATCCGATGAATTAATCGAATACAATTCTAGTCGTAATGATTGGATTTATGAATAAAATCAATGTTGTTGGTTTTTTTAGATTCGTTTAGTTCAACCATTTCATTACAATTATAGAAAATTTATTTTATTTTATTTTACAAAATTTTAGTTTTTTTGAGTAAAAATTATTTTGAAAACGAAAATTTTTTTAATTTTATTTGAGCGCTAGTGCCATCTATCGGAGCAATATCAAGAAAAAAGAAAAAAATTCATCGAAGTTTTTTCGAGCCATGCATGTTATCATTGTTGTTGTTGTTGTTGTTTGATCCACCTATACAAACAAACAAACATTCATGCAATATTTTGACATTGAATTTTCTTTCTTTCTTTATTATTCGCAAACATTGAATTTAAAAAAATAAAATAAAAGTTTTCCAAATCAAAATTATCATCATTTTGTTTTTTGATCGTTATCATCATTATATCATTTCATTCAATAAATTACTGTTACTGTCAATCTTAATTTCATCATCAAACAAAAATCAAAAACCAAAAAATGCTTCGTGGTCTATTAATATTTGCTGCCGGTATTTATACTGGAATATATGCATCACAAAATTATGATGTACCACAAGTAGATAAACCACAAGAATTATTAAATCGTGTTAAAACATGGCTAAACGATTTGGATCGTCAATATCGTAAATCTGGTCCGGATAATAAATAAAAAATTTTTACTCTCACTCTCTCTATTAGTTTTCTGTTATAATATTTTTTAAAAAATAATAATAATCTTCATAGGAAAGTTTGATATATAAAAAGTTTTTTAAAAATTTTTTTCCCAATTACACTAATAATAATAAAAATTTATAAAAAAATCTGTCAAATTAAAAATGATAATTCTCCTGTGATGTATGTAAATTATTAATGAAAAAATCTTCTCTCCCTTCATCATCATCCCATTTGAATAGTATTTATTTGCTCAATACAGTTTTGTTGTTTGCAAATTTAAAACGGTAAGAAATTTTTAATGAAAAAATTTAATTTATTTTAAATTCTTTTGGTTTTGTTTTCTTTCAAAATAATACAGATCGAATGATGAACATAATCGAATAATAATTGTCAATTTTTTCTGTTGTTTTCTGTCAAACTTATTTAGTAAACAAAAATAACAATGATAAATGAATGTCAAATGAAAATCTTGTCCCCGTACAAAAAAAATGAATGAATGAATTAATGAATAAATTGGATTTAACAAACATCGAAAAAAATGAAAGAAAGAAAAAACATATCACAGTTATAAAGGATTATTTGAATATTTGATTAAAATTGTCGAAAATTGTTAATCAACTTTTCACCGGATTATCATCTTGATTTGAATTATCTATTTCGGTTGTTGTCGATGATGATGATGATGATAATGTTGTTGTTGTATCTGTTTCATGATCAAAACCAGCATTTACCTTACTTGAACTTGTAATCGATAATGTTGGTGGTGATGAACGATTTTTATTATTATCGACAATCATCATTAAATTATTATTATTTTTTGTTTGTTGTTGTTGTTGTTTGGAAAGCAGTTCCGTTGGTTGAAACATTACAAAATTATTTTCATCTTTATCAATATTTGTTTCGGTTATATTTGTTTTATTTTTATGTTTTTGAAACAATAGCCAATAACCACTAATTGAAACTAATATTAATCCAATCACAATAATCACTATGGAAAAAATATCAGCATAAATAAACGGTTTAGTTAATGCCCAATTTAAATGTTCAATTATTTCGGATGATGCTTCTGCTCTTAATTCTTGCCAAAATACTGGAAACACTACTTCGGGTATATAACGAAATCTTGAAATCCATGGTGGTTTTGTAATATAAATATTTATCTGTATACGTGCATATGAACGTATACTTGTACCGGTATTTGGTTCAACCATCATATGAAATTGATGTTTTCGTCTATCCGGTCGAAGACCACCAATATTTTCACGATAATTTGGATGAGCATAAAGAAAATGTGGATAACTTAATAGAACCGGTGCACCATATTTACATTCAGACAAATCGAATACACCGGAACGAAATATGATACGACCATTTTTGGTTCGAAAAAATGGTTTAATAACAAAACGTGACTGATTTCTTTCTCGTATGGATACGAGTATATCGCCTAATTCTGGTCTTGATGGTGTAATTTTACTTGAATAACAAGAATTCAATGGATGTTCATCCATTGAACCAAGTGTATCCGAATCAGGAATATATCGATCAACAGTAATTTTTATATCATTCAAATCACCTTTATAATTTTTTGGCATAAAATGTGTTGCATTTATTCCTGTTTCATCAGCAATGAATTTTATTGTACGACATAATTCAGGATGAAACAATTTAAATGTTCGTTCATCATTGATTGCAATAATTTGTCCATCAGTACTTCCTTTTAAACGATTACATTCACTTTTAGGTTTCCAAAATTGTAATTCAGAATGTCCATTATAACGATCAATTTGATTAATTTTTGTAAAATCTTTTTGACCAGTAAATACAGTAAGCGATCCATCATCGGTATTATTTCGACCGTAAAGCCAACCAAATCGACCTTTAGTATTTGGTATGTTTGGATTGAGCAATGGACCAAAACTTGTTAACACTTCATGATAACCATCAAATAATAATTCACGAGCACTACGACGTATAAAAAAGCCTTCAGCTACAGTACTTAATCCAAGCGATACAATATTACGAACAACTAATGGTGCTTTTTGTAATAATGCTAATGTTACCGTTAATGGACCATTTACTGTAACCAGAATACGATCACGATCCGATGCAATTGATAGCTCCGGGACAAATTCAAGAGATTTACGTTCACGAAATGTTACCGTTCCATTTGAATGAAATTTTATTGGATCTTTTATCCAACGTGATCGATAGGTAAATGGACCAATTTCACGTACTTGTGGCCTTTCACCATTACGTTCAATTTCAATAGGATTTGATACATTAAAAAAATAATAACGATAATAAACGGGCATTGGAATTTGTTTCCATTTTTCAAATGTTTCACTGCCTTCGGCAATAGCTAATTTCTTTTTTTGTTCATAAATCAAATCAAAAAACAAAAGAACAAACAAAGCAAAACAAAACAAAACAAAAAATTAAAAAGAATCAATCAATATCAATAATAATAATAATAAACAGAATGATTTACCTCTGTAATGATTTTATGTATTAATGAATGTAAAATAGCCAAATAAAATAATAAACCAATTATAATGAATAATATACCAAAACAAGCTAATAAAAATATATACAATGATTTGGTTATTATTATTGATTGTGAATGTTTTTTTGAAAATTTTTTTGTCAATGTTGTTGTTGATAATGTTGTTGATGTTGATGATTGTGATTGTGATGATGGCTGATGTTCTTCCATATCGTTGTCGGATGTCTTTTGTTGAAATGTCCAGATTTTATTTTTCCAATTGGACATTTTTATTTTTTTTTTCTTCTCACTTTTTTTCTATTTGTTTTTTGTGTTGAAAACTGACAAACGCACACACCAAACACCGAAAGCAGAAATGATTGAAAAGACAAAAAGAAGAAAATGAAAAATTTGTTCAAAATTCAATTTTTAGATTTTTAGAGATTTTATTTCATTTTTCTCAGCAAAAAAAAAAATTCGTTCATTCTGATGATGATGATGATTGTAATGGTGTGATGAAAATGAATTGCTTATTCGATGATGATGATGATCGTCTCAGTAGTAGTTGTTGTCTTTTGAATGGGTGATGATGGTAAAACTTTCAATCATCATCATCAACATTGTCATTGACGTTGATCGATTTGGTTGGTTGAATTTTTTTTTGAATTTTTGCTTTGTTTTTTAAAATTTTCTGTTCAACACACACACAAAAACAAAAACAAACAAATTAAATGTGGAAAATGTGGAAAAAAATATTGCTTTTAGCAACATTTCATTATGATTTCAGGCGTTTTACATGATTAGTTTTTTCCTTCAATTATCTTTCTTTCCTTGTTGTTTTCACCCTACACACGCTAAAAACAGAAAAAATCAAATCATTGAATTTGAATGAAATTTGATTTGATGTACTTCTTTCTTCAATCGATAAATTGTTGTTGTTGTTGTTGTTGTTTTGATTTGAACAAAAATAATTATATAATGATGATGATGATGATGTTTATCAATCTGGAAAAATAAGAAATATAGGAAAAGAAAAACAAAAACATTAGCAATAAGAATCAACAATAATAACGATAATAATGATGATGATTCTTTATTCAAAAAAAAAATCGATTAATTAATAATCGAATGAAATCAAAAATCAATCAGTATTTGTTGTTGTTGTTTGTTGTTGTTGTTTACTACAAAAACAACAAAATGAATGAAGAAAATTTCAATGGATTTTTCTTATTTGGCTTGTTATTATACAACAACAATTTGATGATGTTGTTGTTGTTGTTTGATTCAGGATGATGATAGAAGAAAAACTAGTTTTTCTTTTCGATGATAATAATGATGATGATGTAGAAGAAAAAGATCAGATAGAAAACAGAAATTTAGTGAGACTTAGAGAGAAAGTAAAACTCAAGATTCAACCAAACCAAAAAGAAAAAGCAGATTAGCTAGTTTCGTATACAAACCAACAAGTTCTTCTTCTTCTTCTTCTTCTTCTTTGTTTTTTACCGTCTCTTTGGATTAATTTTGAATATTTTTAACTTTTCAATATTAACCACACAAAAGAGAGAAAGAAAGAACGAAAAAAACTACAGAAATATGTTTTTTCATCGATTACGGTTATGATTTTCGTGAATAAAAAATTTTCTGCTTCCAACAAATACATAATGATGATGATGATTAGTTATGTAGATTTGTAGATTTGGCTGTAACAACAAGCAACAACAAGCAACCATCATCCATTTTTAAAAAGAGGAAATTAAAACAAAACAAAATTCATATGGAATGAAAATTTGCTGTTGTTGTCGTTGTTGTTGATGATGATGAGGGATAGTAAAAGTGATTCGGTAAAAGTAAAAAAATAAATTAAAATGAAATGAAATGAATGACCATAGTGATTTTCATCATTATTTGTTTCTTCTTTGTCCAGACCAGAAAAAATAATAATTAAAATTAAAATGTTAATGATGAACTTTTTTGTTCCAAAAAACAATTTCAAAATGAAATAATTGTTTGCGCGAGCAGAGGAAAATATTTAAAATCGATGGAAAAAATGATAATTGTTTTTTTTTGGAATGTGGGACAAATCAAGCTGTCAACTTTTTATAATTGTAAACTGTGTTTACAAGCGATAATCATCGTTTAGAATTTTAATTGAAATTTTTTTTAATAATCTTACAACAAAAAAAAAACTACAAAATTTACATTTTGTAGTTGCGTAAATATGAAATATGAATAAGTGGAAAAGGAAATAAAATGTTTGTTTGAATTGAATTGAATTGAATTGAAGAAATCAACACCCGCGCATCATTGATTATCTTGATTGTTTTCCATTATCATCATCGAAGTAATAATGGAAATAGATGATGAAAAACAAAAATTTAACCTTCTCAATTTGATTTCGGCTATTTCAATATTTGTCGACAAATTTTAGTTTTTTTAGTTTTTTTTAGTTATTCAAACACCAAAAGTAACGAACCTAAAATATTTTGTTTTTTTTTTCACAATTTAAAACAACTAAAATCGAATCGATTTTCAATGACATTGAAAATTACAATTGATAATTATGGTTGTCGTCGTCGTCGCCGTCGATGATGTAAATAATTAAAAACAAAAAAAACAAGCAAAAACGTTAAACATTGGCAAACGTCAATTGATCACATCATTTCATAACACTGATGATGACAACTAACTAACCAGAATGATTATTGCATTCTGGTTTTTTTCCTTTTTCTTTCATATGGCAATCATAAATGAATTATTTTTCTTTATTATTAAATCGATTGAAACAATGTTGTAAAAGAAAACATTTGAAAAAAAAGCGAAAAACAAATTACAAATTTCAGGGTTTTTTTTTATCAATTAGTTTATGAAAATATAAAGCTATAGTCAGTACATTCATTCATTTATTTGGCCAGCTGATGTATTTCTCACATTTTCGCAATATTGGTTATTATAAATAGTATGGATCACCCCAAAATATGAGATGGACAACAACAACAAAAATATGGAATAAATAAAAAAAAAAGACAATAGGTTGCCATGGCGTATATTTGATATTATTTTGGTTTGTTTTATATTCACACATACACACACACACATACAAAATATACATACATTTATTTTTTGTCAGTTAGAATCGGCAATGGTCACACAATAGAATGACAATCATCAAAATGAATTGGGAACGATATTTTTTTTGTTTTTGTTTTCATTGATGATTCAAAATTGGAAAAAAATTCAAAAAAAAAGAGAGAGAGAGAGAGATAGAAATGGCTGGAGAAAAACCTAAAGAAAAAGAGAGAAGAAACAAAAAAACCCGATTGATCAGGTATTTCCAGGTGGTCATCATCATCATCATCATCATCATAACCGATGTTTTTATTGACCGATAAAATTGACTGCTATTTTTTTCACATCTTACCAACGGTAAAAAACGAAACGAAAAGCGAATTCAAACTATTTTTAGTCGAACAAACATTTTTCATTTTATTTAAAGAGAGAGAGAGAAAAAAAAATACAGGTAAAAAATGCATATCGAAACTGTATTTTCTTCATTTCTCTTGATTATTTTTTAGAATAAATTATTATTAGTCAAGGTTTATTTATTCAACAGATACCTTCGTTTTTTGCCCAATGATATTTGCCAAAAAAAAAAAAAAAAAAAAAAAAAAAAAAAAAAAACAAAAAAAACCAACCAAAAAAAACAAAAAAATAAAAAAAAAAATGAG